TCTGGAGTGTCGGTGGCGGGGGGGGGGGGAGCAATTGATTGCCTTGAAGCCACCGTTATTGGATAAGCATATGTTGCTTTTACTTGGTTTAAACAACTTTGGAAGAATATTTACGTAGCATTAAGCTCAGTCAAGCAACAAATCAGTGCTATGCCCTGATCCTGACCAAAATCCCATTCTGGAGATCATTAAAACTGTACAAAAAAATAAATATTTTTTAAATACTAATGTGGTATCATAGCATAGTTCCCATTCTCTGTAATCAGTTTGGCTTCCTACCTGTCCAAGTCAAAAAATTTTTGCTTTCAAATTTGACTTAACAGAATAGTGCTATCTATATAGCACGAGAAACAGTTCTCTTCCCACATTTTCTTAATAAGGTCTTTCTAATCCATTAGGTCTGACAGGCTTTTTTAAACAGAGAATCTCATGCTTCAAGTGATACTTAACCTGGGAACAAGTCCTGCATTCCGCAGATTTCACTTCTTTGTGATATGGCTATTTCACTTCAAAAACCCCAAAATGCCTGATGCAAAGATGTCCTGAATTAAGTTACTATGGGTTCTCATGACTGGCTTCTGACTTGTGAAGAATCTACCATTTGTTTTCAAATCCAAAGCAGCGTGCAGGCATTCTTAACTATTAATTAAGTCATTGTATCATAAGGGTGATTCTGCATTTTTACATTGGGAAAAGTCAAATATATATTTTAAGTAACTCAGTTACTGGATTTTCATTACAAAAAAATGTTTTCTTTATGAAGCCAGAGCACATGTTCTGTTCTTAGATTTAGCTCCCATTCTTCTAAACAACCAAATAAATCATACTGACACCAAATAAAATTACTCCTTAACTAGAGCATTTAAGCAGAGTTTCCTTTATTTTTACAGTAGTGTTAGCAACATTAGTCAGATGACTGTAAATCAACACTAGCTAATTTGTCAAATGGAATTTAATGCAAATGATCCCTTTTGGGATGCGATAGCAGGGCCTTAAAAATGATATTATGCATGACAGTTTTATGGAGCAAGCCTGTTGGTAATTTAACCTCCTTCTGAGGAAGAAGTCCACACCTTCATAATGAGTATTCACCTTTTTAGTAGTGAATAATACCTTAGCATTATTCTGATTTGTAACTGTAACCTTGTCAAATAAGGGTTTTATAAATGACCTTATAAAAGCAGTTAGGTATTTAATACTCAATGAAGTATGATATTTATGAAACCTCTCAAGAGGAAGTCATAAATTGTTTCATAAGATTTAAGTGACAAATTCATAGCAATAAAAACATTTCTTCAAAGTTCACCTCCTAAAAAATATTGAGCAGACATCCTGAACTTCATGCAAGTGAACAAAACAGCCACTTTAACACAAGTAAGTGCATGTCCAGCAGATGGCACTTTTTTAAAATCTGCAACTAGCTTTAGAAATTCTCATTTCTACCCAAATTCAAATTTGATTTAGTGCAAATTTATTATTCAGAAAAAGCATCATTACCCAAAATTTTATTCCATAATGTTGTATGAGCAGTTTTCATCAATGCTATTTTTTTCCATTCACATTATACCTTTGAGGAGAAACATATATATATTTAATGAGAAGCGTTAAATCCTGAAAAGACAACTTAAATTGCCACTATGAAGAAAGTACTTGCAACATCAAGTAGCCTGTAGTCAAACACAACTGCAGGTAGCCTTCCTTTGTCCCCTGTAAAAAGGCACCAAGTTCTCTCGTTCTGTGAACAGAAATTAAATTATTCTCAACCCATCTATGAAAGGTGCTTACAGTGACTTACACTTGTTTGCTTGCTCTTCTGTGACTAAAATCTCTGTAGAAGTAGCTTTGCACTGACAGAAGTCTGACTTCACAGGGGGCTTCTAGGATATATGAGCAAAATGAGATCAAGACCAGACATTTTAGAAATTGAAGGCTTTATAATCACTTTTAAAGTGTTTTTACCCACCTATGAGGCTAGCCTGCTGAGGCATGAAAGCAGGTTGCATTCTCTTATTGTCCTTCTTGCCTTGGTGCATTATCAGTGGAATCAGTTAATGCAGCATTGTGGCAACATTTTTGGAGACAACACCCCCCTCTCACCCTTTAAACAAAAACAGGCAAAGAACAGTATGAATTTGCCAATGGTCAGCACAACAATACAGCAACTGGGAAAGCGCAGACTTATGAGCAGCCCCTTCTCCCCCGTGCTTCTAGACAGATAAGATTTTTCAGCCTCAGGCATATCCCATTCTTTTCCTTTGACTTTTCACAGCCATACGGTAAGTGTTTTTGTGTTATTAATACACTTCAGTTATGCTTCCAACATCTCTTTTCTCATACTCGTTTTGTTTCTTTCATCCTACTGTATCTCGTTTTCTATGTAGGATGGCTCTTTCTTCCACGAGTCATGCGGTATGTGCTCTTAAGGAAGAAAACTTGAAAATAAAGAAATAGTACATAGCATATCAGACTTCTAGCTGTTCACTTCGGTTGATACCTCTAAGGCTACAGAAATAATTCTCTGCTGCTATATTTCAAGGTCAGCGCAGCAGCCCTGTGTTTTCGGTTCTATGCAAGTTTGCTTATCTGCACTCCTCCTGGCTCAAACTAGTTGTCTTTAGTTGTTAGTTTTTAATCAACACTTAAAGCATTCGTGATTTTTGTATTGATGCTTTGGGTGGTAATATTTAGGTGGAAGTAATTGCCCTTATTATTTGTAGAGCAGCTGACTTATCAGTTGCTATTTTCTGAACTAAAACTAGTAAGGAAGTTGCAGCTTCAAGAAATCTGCCTCTGAGCAACACTATAGGTGAAGGCAGTAAACCCATATTTTTTAATGATTATTTTGTTAAATACATAATCCCTCTTGAGAAAGACTAGTACTTTTTTCTCCTTTATACTCATCCGAAAAAAATAGAGTTTTAAGTTAAATTGAAAGGAAAAGAAATTAGTTATGCCACATTGTAAGCCATTTGTATTACATACATTTAAGTCATCGCAAGCAGTAGGTTAATACAACTAGCCTACAATTAGCACGTCTCAGATGATAGAAAAAAATAATCTGATGATCAGGGAAGACTAAATGACGAGATATTTAACCCAGAGTAATCTCTTGCAGCATTCTGCTGATATTACAAATTGGATGTGTTGAAGATCCATGGAAGTGCCACTGGCTGTAAAGGACTTGTGATCGTAAAACACCTCACTATTTATTAGCAACATAAACTAAACACACTCCGAAGCTAAACTTTACAGATAAGCATGTGTTAATGTGTAACCCAGAGCTGCCAGGTGTGTCTGGATAGCATAGTTCTGAAAACACTGCTTAGACTTCTCTTTTTCCACTGGAAGTGTTTATAGAGTGCTTCTGGTAATACTGCAGTAGGGGCATGGGCTTATTTCATAACCCAGTTATGAACAAAACCAAAATAAGCGTTAATTTTTAACTCCTCATAAAATACAAAAGATATTTTTCATTGAAAATATTTCCACTCTGTCTGAATTATTGAAATATGCTCTTTATCACACAGGGCACAAATAAACAAAAAGAAAAAGTAAACTTTAAATAAAACTAAGGATAGTTCAGCCAAAATTGGCACTCCTCAGAAGCCTACACTTACCTCTCTCTCTTTTCCAGCTGTATCTAGAAAAGAGGGCAGCCACCATTTTATGGCTGTTGATCAGTCTAACAAACTCCATCTGGTACAGCTTGTTGGTACTGAAGCATACAGCTGGGAAGTTTTTCCCCTCACTTGAGCACAGATAAGCTGTGCAGGGAGGAAAGCACTGTTGCCTGCAAGCCTTGTCTACATCACAGATCTCAACTGAGCCTGCAAACCTTTTGTAGCAGAGCTGCCTCTGAACATAGGAACTGAAGATAGGAACTATCTTTTAGATCACTGAGTCCATTTTCTAGCTCAGCTGCCTCATCCCAAGTCACCTATGTGCAGCAGTACAGCTTGGTTGCTTGAGAGATACCGTAGATACAAATACTGCTAGGACATGCTCACAAAAAGAAATGATCCGGTATTGCTGCACATTGATGACTTGGGATTCAGAGAGCTATTTACTGAAAACAGTTTGTTTTTTAAAAAAAAAAAAAAAACCTAACACCTGGTAATTAAGCAGAACTGAATGCAGATCTGCTCTTCTTAATGCTTCTGTGTCATTACTTTCTTGAGTGTCTATGGAGTTTGCTGTGTAATGGGACCCGTCTTGGGACTGCTTCTTTTGCACTCTTCTGTAGCCATAAGAGGGATTCAACTAGATTTTTTGGATACCAAAGAACAGGAATTATTGCTCCCCACTAGTAACCTGGTACAGGCAAATAGTCCTCCTTTTTCTTTAAGTATATTTTTGTTTATTTGTTTGCAATTGCTGAAAAGTTTGTAGTTCTGTTTTTAGGAATTGTGACAAGATCAGTAACTTGCTTCCCACTGGCCCCGAGGCTGGAAAATAAGTTCACTGTTGGATGCTGAGACAGACAAGAGCTGATAGGCTGTTCTGGATTTTGGCCTTTCCTAGCAAGTTCTTGCAACATCTGAGTTCAGTCATCTCACCTCAGAGATGGGTAGAGAACCTTGAGCGAGGGGTCTCTAT